TACATTTCCCCCTAAACTTCTGCCCATATTGCTTTTGCTTACTTATTGTCTCTCTTTGCGTTTTCCTTCTTGGGTTGTTGTCTGGACATCTTTCAGACAAAATTAGCTGTACTTAGAAATTGCGCTGGTTTTCCAAAGGGGCTAATGGTTCTCCTTCTGGGCCCAAAGTAAACCAGTGTCTATTTGCACATGTGATTCTGAGCATCTGAGAAGCCGACCCTCCCAGGCCGAAGCTCTGAAACCTCAGCTGGACTGCCCTTAGCACATCAGACTCACAGGAGATGGAGGTTTCCCTGGCGAGAGAGCTCAGAGCCGTTTTCCACACAGGATGTTTCCTGGATATGCCACCAGATGCGCAACAGTCTGAAAGGCTACTCCTGGCTTTTTTTCTGTCCTTTCTTTCTTTTCAAATACTTATTTGTACATGTAAGTTTCACATTACTATTCATTTGTACAATGTTGCCTTCTGTCCTTTTAATGTAAAGAACCAGAATTTGTATGCCTCTTCGTTTTGATACTCCTTCAGATTTGGTTTGAGCAGCTACCATGTATTAGGGGCTGAAAAACACGAATGGAAAGACAGACAGGAGCCTGGCCCCGGTGGCGCACAAGCTGTAGCGGGGTAGGAGATCAGACTCACAGTTGTAAGTCGGGGCCACGCGAATGCTTATGAAGGTGTAGTTTGCCCGGTCTGCTGGATTTCCACTTACCCAGTACTCTGGAGGGGCCAGGGCCTCTGGATTCTAATACTCTACCTAGATAATTTGATGTGTGAAAGCCAGTGGCCAGGAGCCACTAGTAGCTATTCTCGAATTGAGACGTAATTGTTAGACTGCATTTCACAATATATCCTTCCCCACCTTCTTCAAGGCAGTCGCAATATACACATCTATCAGAACAATTAAAGCAAATCAAACTACATGTCTTTTGATGAAGACGCTCTCCTAGGAAGAGGTGAACATATCTGAGCTCCTCCAAGTGGATTATATACCTCAGGTCTCCCCATCCTGACCAAAGGCTTATTATTACATTCTCATGAAGGAGGTGGGGCCAGAAGACAGGATCGTAGGAAGCAAGCAAACCAACAAATTCTAATACAGATTTTCCAAAAAACCAACGATGGAGGCCTTATTGAAAAAGCAGGTTCTGGGATTCTACCCCAGAACCACAGAACCAGGACCTCTGGAGGTAGGGCCCAGAGACTGTCATTGTTTAACAAACTCTGCAGGTGTTTCTTACTTATAGATTCAAGCCTTCCAGGAATGTCTCTGAATCTTACTTGGTGCTCACATTAAAGGAAAGGACAATGTGCATTCCTGGACCACATACCAATAGTATCTAGTTCCTTCAACCCTTCCTCTTTGGCTGTGATAAGAACAACAAGGATGACAATGATAATAATAATAGCAGCAGCAGCAGCAGCAGCAGCAAGAACTAATGTCTTGAGCTCTCACAGGGCCAGATATGGCACTACAGCTTTATATCTGTTATTCCAGAAAATCCGTATGGTGCCGCCCTTAGTCAGTGATTTGATAAATAAAAAACTGAGGCTCACAGTAGGAAAGGGTATGTCCCAAGATGACCCAACTGGTTAGTGACTGAGATAGTATTTCAAGTGCTAAGGGAGAGTGGGACACAATAAAAGGTGTGGTGGCTGACATTCACAAGTCATTGTTCATGTTTTAATTGGGATTGCAAGAGACAGTTCGGTGCAGTAACAGCTTATGTTGGTGCCTACTGTGGCAATACGTGAGCCCAAAGTGGGTAGGGTGTGTGCAGGACCAAAATGGTGTGGCGAACCTGGAAAAGAACACCCAGCACAGGGACTGGGGACTGATTTGAGAAGAGGGAGCCGCAGGATCAGCTTCCCCGGGTCCCTGAAGTGCTCTGTGCTCATATCCATCTTTGCTCTCAGACCTGCCCTCAGTCCAGGTTCTGCTTGCCCACCAGTTGTGACCTCACCCTTCCTTTTACCTCAGTCTGCGGCCTCACCCATGCTGTTCTCCCTACTCCTCCTCGCAGCTTCTGCTTCCATTGCCCCCTGCCTCATTCTCTCAGAATTCCTTATATTCTTTAAAACCTTTTTGACTAATTTAAAAATTGAGACATAATTGACTATTAGTTTTAGATGTACAATAGAACTGATGTAAGTCTATGTGTGTGCAGATAATACTGCAAAATGATTACCACAGTAAATATGGCTTTTATCTCACCTCACAGTTAAAATTTTTTTTGACATGACCTAGTCTCTGATTTTTAATTTTTTACAGATTTATTTATGCATATAGAACTGGGGTACAGGCCCAGTGAGAGGATTCACCAGAGACAGAGTGGGGAGCAGAATAGGCAGATTGATGAAGTATACTGCTGAGGGGGAGCAGCAGGTGAGACAGGAGAGGTCTGCCGCGCCATGTGGGTCACCTCCAGGGTGGGGATTGAACTCTCATTGAAGTGGCTGTGGCTCGCTTGCAGTGCTGTGCTTTAACCAGCTGCACCACTAGGGAGGGCCCTTAACTTTTAAATATACAGCACCCCATTATTAGTGATAGTCACTGTGCTGTATAACAGGTCCCTGGGACTTGTACCTGTGACTTCCTTCACTCACTTCACCTACTGACTATGGGAGTTTTCTTCCTTGCTTCTCTTTATGTAAGAGTTAAAAAAAAAAAAAATCCTGTACCTAAGCATCTAAGTGAGAGACATATACACATACAAACATACATACAATGTCTATCTTTATATACATATCTACACATGTATATACTGTATATACACACATATATACAATATATATCTACAAACTTATTTATGCCAATATATTGTACATCTAAAAGTCAACTGTATCTCAATTTTTTAAATAAACATGTGTATGTGTGTCTGTGTACCTATCTATCTATCCATCTGTCCATTCATCTATCCATCTATCTAAAGAGATCTCAGTTTGGTTCCATGTCTTGGACAGTGTTGGTTATTTGGAAGTCCCCTGTAATTTTCTGAGGAACTTCCATATTGTTTTCTATCATGGCTGTACCAATTTACATCCCCACCAACAGTGCACGAGGGCTCCCTTTTCTCTACATCCTCAGCAACATTTATCTTTTTTTGTCTTTTTGGCAACAGCCTTGCTAGCAGGTATGAGGGTGACAGCTCATTGCAGTTTTGATTTGTATTGGTCTAATCATTAGTCAAACTGAGGGCCTTTTCGTGGTCCTGTTGGCCTCTTGCATATTTTCTTAGGAAAAATGTCTATTCTTAAGTCTTAAATGCCAATTTTTAAATGGGAGTTCATAGCCGTCGAGGGAGGGAGTCTGATTGATCCAGCTTACCGTGTTGTAGGTCACTACAGGCTGCTGCCTAGGTGGAATTGTTGACTCCAGTCATTTTGACTAAGCAGGAAGCAGCACAAGCATGGATGCCTGAGGCCATGCTCCCCAGCAGGATCTGTGTGCAGAATAGGCACAGTAATTGCTATTTCCAGTGCAACATAAATCTTTACCCAAAGGCTTTCAGAGGCCTTAGAATAAAATAACTTGTCTGCAGCAACCAAGTCCTCATGGTTAGGGAAGGCGACACTATTTATAGCTTTGGATTTCTTGCCCAGTGGCAAGTGACAGTTGTAAGCTCACTTAGGATTTCTGTTTTGTGCCTTCCTGCATTTGAAACACCTAAAGTAGTGCCTAGCACAGAGCAGCTTGTCAACAAATATGAATTAAATGAATGAATAAGTGATACTACAGTCTCTTGCAATTCTCAGCTATTGCCCACTACACACGGGAAAATGTAATTTATATGCTACTTTGGTCCTGATTCTCAGGGGATATCATTAATACTGCCCTAACCAGAACATAGCCGTGGACAGAAGAACTCTAGATCTAGACAATGCCCTCATTATTTACTTAAAAACAAATACAAATATTTTGGGTCATCTGCCATTTCCAATTCCTGTGTGGTCCAGGAAGGAGTCCGTTTCAGGGATCCTCAAGCAACAGAGATGCTAAAAAGCCAAAGCATTTCAACTGGTAGTTCATGGATGATGTTATACCAGAGGGACAGTCCGCAACGTATGGAGACCTTTTTTTAGTTGTAAACATTTCACAAAATCTACCATCCTAAAGTGTACAGTTCAGTTGTCACATTCACATTGCTGTGTAACTCATTTCCAGAATGTTCATATTGCAAAACTGAAACTCTATACCCCCTCTAAACAACCTCGCATTCTCCTTTCCCCCTAGCTCCTGGCTATTGCCTTTCTACTTTCTGGGTTTGTGAATTTGACTATTCTCTGTCCTCACAGAAGTAGAATTAGACAGCATCTCATTTAGCACGTCTTCAAGTTTCACCAGTGTCGCAGCATGTAACAATTTCCTTCCTTTTAAAGCTCAGATGACATCCTACCATAGGCACATGCCCATTTTGTGTTTCCATTCATTCATCAATGGGCATGTGTGTTCCTTCCACCTGTTAGCTATTGTGATCATGGGCGCACACATCTCTCTCTCTCTTTGGCGCCCTGCTTTCAATGCTTATGATAAACAGCTATAGGTACAATTGTTGAATCATATGGTAATTCCATTTTTTTTGAGACGCCAACGTACTATTTTCCAGAGGCTGCACCTTTTCACATCCCCAACAACGCACACAGCTTCCAGTTTCTCTGCAGCCTTGCCCACACTTGTTGTTTTTCTTTTTTATTTTAGCCATCCTACTATGTCACAATTCAGGAAGGGCGCGATAGTTGGCATCCTGTGGGTGGAGGCCAGTGATGGGACTGAACATCCCACAATGCACAGGATTGTTGTCTGCCCAAAGAATGGAAAACGTCCAAGACTCCCATACTGCCAAGGTTGAGAAAGCTTCACTTAAACAATCGGCGCTTCTTTGGTAGTAGTAAATCTCATCCCCTGCCACAGGCAGCTGCTCTCTCTTCTTTCTTGAGATGCCCAAAGGCAAAGATCCCTCCAAAGATATGGAAAGCAAAGGCAGACTGAGATGGATGGCAATATTTCTTTTATTCAAATTTTATTGGAAGTTTACAAATGTATTACAGACATCAGTAAAACATCATATCCATTTTACAGGGCACAGATCTCAAGCAAAGTGTTCACAACAGTCTCTGGCAGAGCCCACACCAAAGGCCTGTTGCAGACCTTGACAAATAGCTGACCACTCGCCATCGGGCGCCTCACGGCATGGGTCCTTGGAGGTTTTGTTTACCTCGTACTTGGAATTAAAGCGGGAGATGGGCAGACCAGTCCCATACAGGATGTGTTTAGGAGAGGGAAAACTGCCAAGTCTGAATTGGCTAAGAAAAATGGAGGAGACTTGTAAAATTTAGAATGTTAAGTGTGGGTCATGGTAGAATCCAGATGCTTTATGGAAAAATATGGAAACCGACTAGGTAAGTTTCAGGAGTTACTGATGAGTAATTCTCTCTGAAAAATTTGGAAAAGCTTGGTTAGCAACTTATTGAACCTCAATGACTAAATGCCCAGTGCAGTGAAGGAACGTCTCAGAAAACTCCCAGGAGAGAATGAGACAGTATTTTTTTTTTTTCTGTCCTACAGATTTATTGTATCTAAATCACAGAAATACTTCCCTCACACTATATGACTTTCCCCCTTCCTTTTAAGAACTCCTGGGGAAAGCAAGTTTTGCAACAGGAAGTAAGCTTATAAAACAGAATGGCTCCCAACGGTGAGTCATGTTTTATGGGTGTCCTGCGTTGACTGGGTTATTATGATGAGAAAATGGAAAAAGAATCCAATTCTACCCTGATCCTAACCTTAATGACTGCTTCCAAATGGTCAGACAAAGAAGCCCTGGTGTCTGCAGAGGCCCCAGAGGGACCAGCTACTGCAGGCAAGGCAAAGCGCTCTTCATTTCCATTCTTTTTGTGCTTAAGGAATCGTCCCTCAACAGGCGGCCATCTGAAACTGCCTTCACCGCCCACCCCCCCAGGCCCTGCAGTGGCTCAGCTGGTCCGACACCTGCAATGCTACCTCCAGAAACCCATTTTGAAAGCCCTGAGGATGCTAACAGTTGCTCACAGCAACTCTTCTGGCATGGGCTATTTAGATAACTGGTTCCGTCTTCTGCTTTCTTTTGTCATAGATAGATCCTCTTTGTGTACTAGCATCTGGTTTCTGTTAGACAGAAATACACAAAGAGCACTTCTCCTTAGAATTTAAATATCTGTGTTATTTCTTGTTAGAAGATGGAATTAGATGAAGAAAAAGATGGGTTCTTATCTGACTTCTGCAAAGGATGAACAGGAGGCAGTCTATAATAACTGGCAAAGAACACAAACATAGAAAAGGAGATTGGTCTTTGTTTGGGCTAAAGAAGTCAGCCGCCTTTGGAATCTGCAGTCTGGGGGTACAGGGACTGCCACCTCACAATTCATTGTTGACTCACACATCCTCAATAGAAGTTTTTGGCCAATGGCTAAAAGCCCAGGATAGAAAGACAAAAAGGAATCAGTTTACAAATAAGAGTTATCATTAGACAAACAGGATCAGCTCTGATCAAGGGGTCTTAGCTGGTGAGAGGGTCACAGATCTCTCTGAGGTTGTGTCCATGCTCTCTGGGGAAGTATACCGTAACTACCGGTTATACCGGCCCAGGTTTCAGGGATGTGATCACTGACCCTACCTGATCTCAACCAAGGCGAGTGGTACCCAAGCCATGGGAAGCAGCTGCAGAAGAGGAAATCGAATCTGGTCGTGCAGGAGCACCCGACCGAAAGGGAAAAGGGGCCGAGAAAGAGCCGCTTGCAGGTCTCCTACTGGAAATGAGTTGCTTATTCACTGGACGGCTTCAGGGTGGAAAAGACACTAAAGGTGATGTGGAAAGAAGGTGTCAAACAATCAACACTAGGGATTCTCAAACTTGTGCAAAACCAGGAAACAGGGCTCCGATTTCCCTCACTTCATTCATCTTCACACTTGGTAGAGAGCCCAGAACTGCAGGGCAGAGGAAGGGTACTTGAATGCCATGCCCGATGGCACTCATCCTGCTAAGAAACCTGCACACAGTATCAGGGGTGGGGTGCACTGGCAGAGCCTTTCAGGAAACTGTGACTTACACTTGGGAAAGAGCCAGTTCTTTGGCCATGAAATTGAGGAGCAATAGGAAATGAATTGAAGTCCAAAGTTGTGATTTTTGCCAACAGACAAGATAATGATGAGTACGAGGAAAGTCAGGACAAAATAGCTATGTGGCATTAGAAAAGAGAGGAAACTGGGCAAGATTACCTCTCTGGAGTAGAGTCCACTGAGGATGAAATGATCATCTCAGAAGAAGACAGTATGGGCTCCACTCACAGCAAAACTTGTCCAAGAACTGCTGAAGCTGACTATGAAGGAATCAGGTAAGGTTCCTGAATATTGGTCTCAGGGAGAACACACTGGCTTGCTGGGACAGGAATCCTGGGGCGCCTGGGTAAATGATCATTGACTGACCTCCCAGTACAAGGTGCGGCCAGGCCCGCAGACTTAGCCCACCTCCTCCAGCATTTCCTGGCTGCACGTGGGGCGCAGTAGTGAGGAGAAATCTGCAGTGGTGCAATAATTGGAGGCGGTCTTGCTTGTAGACAAATTGACCCTGAGGCTTGGATCTCATTATAGCTCAAACTCTAACCCAGTTCAGCTGCCAGATCCTCTCTGGGAAGCTACTGAAATTGTGCATTTCTCCAGATCCCTGTGGGCACTGGTTAAATGTCAGTTTCTAGGCCGCCTTCTTCCTTCTGCTGATGGTGGTTAAAGCCTCAAAGGGGAAATGTAAGAGGTACTCTGAAAAGGACAGAGTTCGAAAGCAACATTTAGGAGGAGAATTTCTTTCACTGGATTCTGGGCCACAGAGAACAGAAGTTATTTTTAGCTGTTTGCTAAGTTGAGTGATCTACTTTTTTTCCTCTTTCTAAAATGCCGTTTTATTCTCATCAATCAAAGGAATGTAAAATTCCACAATTGAACTCACCATAGTTCTACCAGAAACCTGCCACTTTAGTAGCATGATGTTGCACATTGTTTCTTAATCAGTTTGCCAAGCAGTTTACAAACTTACTATACAAACATAATAGAGTTAATTCTCCAGAGGCTTGGATAATTAATGAAGCATTTAGATATGAAGATAGCATGCGGAAAACAGCCACAACCAACATTTGCATTGCTTTTTAAAAAATCAGTGACAATGACAAATGTCATATTAATACCTGAAAAGCAAATTATTTTAATACATCCTGAATGCAGTGCCATTTCCATGTCCTTTACAGCCTTCCTTCCCCCAGACCCAATTGAAATGGTGTCTGAAAAGCCACTTTTCACATTCTCGCCATAAAAAAAAAACGCTAGAAAATATTAACTACTATACTGAAAAGAGACCACGCTCACCTCACCATGGCAGATGGTCACTGAGCTACACCATGTACACAGCGACAGTACATCTCACTAAAGGTGGGTCCTCAGGTGGGTTAGTTCAATGGCCACAATCTATTAAGGGGAGGAAGAGAATGGAAGAAAAAGCGAGCGCTTCATTTTTAACTGAAGCAAGGAAGGAAGTTTTATTTTACTATAAACAACACAACCGTTAAATGTCTTCTTTAAGCAAACTCACTTTGGAGACCATCTTCTGTCTGATCAACAATTCCCAAAGTTCAAAATGGGAACCCCCTTTCACATAATTTGCTTTTCAAAGCCACAGACACTGACATTTCCTGAGCAGCTCAACTTACCTGTTACCCAGATACTCTGGCCATGGAGTGTGTTAAGCTGGATTCTTCCTACAAACACTAGGAGCTATTCACCGTGGAAGTCAGCACGTCTACTTCACTTCCAGAAAGTTCTTCTTTGCCTTGCTCTTCCTTCATATTCCCCTTCAGCTTCTACCCTTGACCAGCTGTTTTCCAATTACTTTGTTCCTTCTCCATGCATGACATTCCAACCTGAACACACGGGCACTCCAGAGCCCCTCAGAACCTTCCTGTCCCTAAATTCCGAATGTTGAAGTTCATTTGCACTGAGGACAACCGGTTGTCAGGCTGTAAGGCAGCAGTATGTCTGCCTTGGTAAAGGAAAGCAGATAATACAATCCAGGAAACATGAGCACCAGAAAATAATGCTACACTCAAAACAACGTCATGCTGACATCACACAACGGCACCACTCACAGTCACTTTTATTTCCCCAAGGGATAGATCAATAATAGTAAGCAACTTCAATGTCCCCACCAGGGAGAGCATTTCTCACGGGACTCTACTGACACCGATTGGTTTCTCTAATTGGCAAGAGTTACGTTTGCAATTTTTAAAAATATTACTATCACTTTGTAGAGAATAAATTCTACGGAGGGTGGGGGCAGACTTAGGGACGGCTCCTGGAGGTGGAATGGAGCCTAAGAAGCTTTAGGTTTTAGAGTTTGTTTTCTTTTTTTTAACCACAAAAAGCCAAATTGAATAAACGCCTTTGAAAAAAAGTCTCACTGACATGTAACAAATTTGTATAGAAAAAAAGGGGGGAGGGAGGGAAGGTGGTCCTGGACCACCTCTGAATACTACTGAAAGACAATGCTGGATATGCATGCAAGTCTCCACTGAGTCCTACGATATAGAAATTCCTCTGATATTACAAAATACAAAAATATTTTATCAGAACTCTCATTTACATTGCATTTACAGTGGACATGTAAATAACTTAGTCTTGGGTCCTGGCTAATAAAGAAATTACTTACTGGAAAAGGGATCCTAAAAGGAAGAGAACCAGAGAGGCTATAAGCGAGCAAGAAACAATTTGCCATCTTGCGAGTGGCAACAACACAGAGGGAAGGAGGTGACCTGGCCTCATAGCGTCTATAGCATTTCCGAAGTGAAATGTGCAAATAATATTCGACATGCCAAGAACTGCGACTACAAGTCAATCTGTGACCTTGCCTCCATCAACGAGAGCATTTCTCCTTTTCTCCCCTGTAACCACACCCAGAAGCGCTTGAACATTGAAAACAGTGCAAGTTTCTGAATTTACATTCTTCGCTCCCATCTTCCCCCATTCCCTGACCTCCACCCAGATTAAGAAATGATACAGTTTTTGCTCTTCTGTCTTTTCCTGCTGTGCAACTGTCCCCTGCCACCTAGCGTGGAAGACTTGGGGAGGCCGTAGGAGCTGTATTTGTGCAGGAGCTCATCACTGGTGACGTATCGCAGGCGGGCGGGCTGGGGGATCGGTTCTCCTAGGAAATAGCCCTCGTTGTCAGACTCAGAAGAGGAGGAACAGGTGGAGCACCAATCGTACTCGGCGAAGTATGGTCCCCACCGCTCCCCGAAGGCGTTCTGCAAAGCCAGATCCGACACAGTCCTTGGGCACTGGCCATACAGGTCCCTTCGGGACCCTTGGCCCAGGCTCTCCTGGAAGCTCCGCTGGCGCATGAATTGGTCATAGTCCTCCCTGGCTCTTAGCGGGGGCCTTTCTTTTAACCGCGAGATGGCCTCGCGTTCACTGGCCAGGTGGAGGGCGTTGTCGGAGCGAGAGCGTCGGGAACGCCGGGACCGGTGAGGTCGGAAGCGGCGGTTGTCATCGCGGGAAGTAGTTCTCCGACGTGTGCGCTCGCTCATCGGCTGGATCCTCACGCCCTCCTGCCCTGGCAGCTTGCTGCCTGCCATGCCCCCATCAAAATCAAAGCTCTGGTGCATCCTTCCGTGTGACTGCAAGTCTCTGTAGCCAATGGGGTTGCCGAGCTGATGGAGGTTTCCTTCCATCTCCTGATACTGTTGGGCAGAGAGCAGGCTGCGGACTGACTCTGCGCTCCGGAACTGCATGGATGAATTCAGGGTACCCATGTTGCTCAACTTCTCGGAGACATTCATTCCGGAGTCTTTGCTGAGGTCGGGCATGGAAAACCGGGATAGGTGCTCCTGGCGCTTGGCGCCACCATCCGCGGAGAGCCCTGGGGACAGAGAGGAGAAGAGCATGGACATTAACACAAACGTGCAAAGTGAGGCGTCATCGTCACTGTAGGTCCTCTGAACCACATCTACAGGGTTACTGTTGTGCAGCCACACAGGGAACAAGGGTTCATTTACATAGGGTGGGGAGGGCTTGCGCACTTCACGCTGGGGGGCAGTCAGTGTCCACCTACAGAAGGTGTCCCGTTAAAAGTGCATCCACATGCAAATTAAAACCACAATGAGATACCACCTCACCCCAGTGAGAATGGCACATCTTCAAACAACTAGCAACAACAAATGTTGGTGAGGATGTGGAGAAAAAGGAACTCTCCTGCACTGCTGGTGGGGATGCAAACTAGTACAACCACTATGGAAAACTGTTTGGAGGTTCCTCAAACTGCTAAACATGGAGCTTCCCTATGACCCAGCAATCCCACTCCTAGGTATCTACCCAAAAGACACAAAAACACTGATTGAAAAAGATACTTGTACCCCCATGTTTATTGCTGCTTTATTTACAATTGGAAAAACATGGAAGCAGCCCAAATGCCCAAAAGTAGATGACTGGATTAGAAAGATGTGGTACATATATACAATGGAATATTACTCAGCAACCAAAAAGAGAAACACATGTCTTTTGCAGCAACTTGGATGGAGCTGGAAAAGATCATGCTTAGTGAGATAAGCCAGAAAGAGAAAGAAAAATACCAGATGGTTTCACTCACAGCAGGAGTATAATGGACCAGGTGAGAAAATAACAAAAATAATGAACAACCATATACCAGAGACATTCTGTGGGGGTGGAGTGGGAAATGGGATCAAAAATGGGGGGGGAAGGGAGGGAAATGCACAGACTGTGGTGGTGGCACAGGGGTGATTTGGTGATGGGAAACCCGCAGGGATTACAATCGAAATGGAAAAAAAAAAATGTGCAAAATGATGTAAAAATGAACTTTGTAATAAAAAAAAAAAGTGCATCCACAAGGATACAGCTCACTACTTGTTAATTCTTCTAAGCTACTGAGCGCCCACAATGCATCTTTATCAATGATATTTCCTGCTTAGAATTTCACTATATAAAGTGCTCCATTATCTTTTTGATTCCATTAGTATACTGGAAGCTACACAGGCCAGATTATTTTCGATGAGGAAACTTTAAGCAATATAAACTGGGTTTTCCCCAAACAACTGCCTAGAAATGGGCCTCGAATCTAGTGCCATGCTGCTCGATGGCACTAGTACCCCTTTGCCTCCAGCACATTCCTCTTGAATGCTGCTCTAAGGTCCCTGTCTCCGAAGTCTTTGACATTAAATGACTCCTTGAGTACAGATAAGGGAAGCTGACTCTCGGGCTAGTTAGTAAGTGGACGCTCCAGAGTTCTAAGTGGAACCTGGGGCATTTCTCTTTCCCCTGGGAAGTACTTTTAAAACAAAGCAGCGACATAACCACTCTCTTAACAGTGCCAGTCTCTAAAAATGGACCTGCACTTCCTAAGTGCTGCCAAATAAGCTCCTGGTGTCACTGAGATGAAAATCATCTTGAAGATAGTGGGAGACTCTCGACTTGGACAACTTCCATTCCATCCATCACAAAGCACCACCATTCATAAGAGTGGACCAGGTGCAAAACATTAGTACTCTCCACTCATTATATACTGAAAAGATCAGCAATTTTGCCATTTTGGTCTCAGATAATATATCTTTCCTTAGCAATGTACCATTCTTCAAGGAAATCACTCTCTACCATTAGAACATGACCTCTGTTCCCCTGAGAAATCTAACATTATAAACACTTTGGACAACTACTAAGCAATATCTACTAAAGCCAAATATGCAAAAATGATTAATGAACAAAGCCATTTGAATATCTGTACCCAGTTTTTTTTTGTGTGCACTTAAGTACTCATTTTTATTGGGTATATGCTCAGAGTAGAGATACTATGACTTCCTGTTGCCATGATTGGTTATGTACCCAATAAAAGTCAGTTTATAGGTCCAAAAATGAAGACAGTTATTTAGAGTAACATTCTTTACAATAGCCTAGAACTAGAAACAATACGGATGTCAATGATCAGGAAAAAGGATCAGTAAGTCATGGCATTTTCTATCATTCCCCCTTGAAAAGAACTAGGTCTCTTGGGAGAAATAACTCTTTGGGAAGGATTCTAGAAGGAAAGGGGAAAACTGAGCATGGAACATCTTGTTATGGCAAAAAGAAGGAAATGTTAAAACTGAAAAAGGATAAAGGGTATGGAAGCACTCCCACAAACCAAATCTGAGCAATTCGAGTATTAAAATATTTAAAAGTGTAATGATTTATAAATCACTGAGGGGAAAAAGGAATTCAGCAGGTTCACACTGGTAACAGAAATAATCAATAAATAAATGTGGGGAAAGAGTGGGCTCCGTGTATTGCAGAACGATGAAGAGAGTGAATGCTAGATTCAGAAGTTCAGCATTTTGTGGACACAGAACTTTTTTGGAAGTTCCAGTAAGAGAGCACAGTGGCTGTCCTAACTGACCAAGCCCACTGCTTCCAGAGGGATGAGCATGCAATGGTTAGGTTGGGAAGGTACATGCACTTAACCGGCCCAATCAGTTGAATCAACCTTGGCCATCAATGGGGTGGGTGACTGATGTCACAGCTAGACTGCCCTTACATTGAGTATGATCAGCTCTCTGTAACCTTTGTATGTAAAGAATGATTTGTGCAAGGGTCAAGCTCGGTTCAACTGGGGTGGCAGGGACAGGGTGTAAAATTTGATGGGAGAGCAGGCATTTGTCTGGTGTTAAGTATCTCCCCAAATACTATTGATTAATTGGAAAGGGAAATTTACTAACTGCACTGTCCAGACAGCAGACAACACTTCAAACAGGGATGTAAAACCCTATATAATCTTCCAGTCAAGAGTGTATGTCCTGAATGTGTTCAGGAGAGATTAGTAAGCTTCCAAATGAGGAATGTTTGAGAAAGAAAAGGTTTCTGTATTCTCTTAAAAAGAAAAAGAAAAAATCTCTGGCAATGTTAATTCAACAGTGGGGAAAAAAGGAACAAACTTGTTTTCTTAAAAAGAAATTAAGTTGAGCATCATAAATGACAAAGACACTAAGGGAATGTTCTAAATGGACACCGAGGAACCAGGTCGAATACGCAATATGTTATCCTGGACAGGAAACTGTTCTGTTGGGAAAGCAAATTCTGTTAATTGACAGAAATTGAAATATGGGCAATAGATAAATGTATTATGGTTAATTTACTGTGGTAAATGGGTAATTATGATATCACTGGAGAAGAGAATTATTTGTGGGAAATACACATGTAAATGGTAAATAACCAAGGTAGATGCCACTTGCTTCCAAATGGTTCAGAAATAAATTATATGTGTGAATGTGTGTGTGAGCCAAGAGAATGAATGACAAAGCAAACAGGATGAAAGGCTAACAAAAGGTATAAACAATTTGACTGTTCTTTGTTCCATTTATACAACTTTTCAAAAAGTTTGAAATTATTTCAAAAACAGTTTCTCAAGGGTCTCCCTTGTGGCCTAGGGGTTAAGTCTCAGTGTTTGTACCCAGATGGCCTGTGTTGGATCCCCGGCCAGGGAGGTGACTCACATGGAGCAGCAGCCCTCTCCTGCCTCCCCTGCTGCTCCCCTCAGCAGTGTATTTCAGTCCATCTGCCTGTTCTCCTCCCCACCCTGTCTCTGGTGAATCCTCTCTCCCCCTGCACCTCTTGCCTACACTCCAGTTCTTCTACACAAAAATGAAATCTTTAAAAACACAAAAAGATTTCTAAAAAATCTTTATGTGTTTTTATGTGGTGTAAAGGTATTCAATTCCAGGGGAACTTATTTGGAGTAGAGAATAAGTACTGTTGGCAACTAGTTGGGAAGAGGCCAGAGAGAGATTACTAAACATGACACAAAGCACAGGCACAGGCCAGCCCTCACAACAGAAGTCGTGCAGCCCAGGACATGATGATGGCACAGTTGACATGTCCCCATGTAGCTGAAGGCCAGACAACGAGGAGACATAGCTACATCCAACGATGCAGATGAGTCCTGTAGAAATACTGAGACACAAGAGTATGTGCTCTGTGATTTCATTTATATGATATTCACGAGCAGCTAAGGCTGTTTATGGATTATTTTAAAATAGTTAAGGGTAGTGGGCGGGGGACATAATGGAAGCTTCCAGGGTGCTGGGAATGTCCTGGGGGTCCTACCAGAGAGTAAATGTCTGTGATCATTTGACAGGCTATACATATGTAAGTTTTCTGAGGTGTGCTTTTAGTGTCTGTTTGCTTTACCTTAAATAAATGATACCTCAGTAAAATGGTATAAAAATAAGACAATGTTCTCATTGGAGTCAAATGTAAACATTGGGCATGCTTATGAAGAAACTAGTCTGACAAACATCATACCTTCGTCATTTAAAAAGAAAAAACTGGTTACTTGGATAACTGTCAAGGCCAGGGGCACTGTATCCTCCAACTCCTATTTTCCCTGCTGCTTATCTGTGACCTACACATCATAAAAGCTGATTTACAACAGCCTAATCACTTCCAGAGCCTCCCCGATCTGAAGGTGGAGATGGGAGGAAAGCAACCTAAGTTGATGAATGAGCAGCCGGAGCACATGAACTCTAGTAAGGAAGGGGGGGAGAAAGCCTCAAAAATCACACATAGAAACGAAATCTACATAGGTGGGTGCAATGATCTTTGCCAGGCTTTCTACACAAGCCCTCAAATGGAATTAGGGTCAGAGCTAGTAATCTAGCAAATGCTATACATTTCCAGACATGCTGTTTCCCGGGGCCTGTCTTTAATAAGCCCCCAAGTCAAGCACTGATCAGAAGGTGCGGCATGTGAACTGATTCATATTGCAACAAGGAGGCAAACTGGTGGAAGGGTAACCTCAATTCTGCTGGGATTGAAGCTTGTCCTTGCCTGGTGTCCTCCTGCATCCTGGGGTATCTGCTTATACCCTCAGCCAAGCCC